GGTCTGTGTGGGTCAGGGAGGGGTCTGTGGGTCAGGGAGGGGTCTGTGTGGGTCAGGGAGGGGTCTGTGGGTCAGAGAGGGGTCTGTGGGTCAGGGTCGTCTGAGGAGGAAGCAGATGAATGGAGTTGCACGCGAAAACTTGTATTTAAGATTTAAGTTTTTTTTATTTCAAAGGTCCTCATGGCTCAGCAGCAGAAACATAAAGTTAAGAAAGCTAAAAAAATAAACAATCTATGTCTGATTATGAAGGTAAATTAAATATCTGACAGTGATCATTACACAGTGTGGCTATAATTCAGTTTCCTGTCTCCAAAATGAGTGTACGCATGGGTCAGAGCTGGCTGAGGCACCGCACATTTTCACGTCAAGTTTGGATTTTATAAATCACAACCTTGGCGTGAAAAGTGGCGTACGCAAGCTTTATAAATCTGACCCCTGGACCTTCAGCTTGGATAAAACTTGTCATCATACAGTCTGTACTTTGTAACATGTGCTAATACACAATATTTTGCAGCAACATGTTGACAATATCGTGTCCTGATGGTGTATTCAAGAACTGTAAATTCAAAAATCCTCTCTGAAATATTAACTACAGCAGTGTTTTTCAACCCTGGTCCTCAAGGCACACTGCCCTGCATGTTTCAGATGTTTCCCTGCTTCATCACAGCTGATTTCTGTTGGTAACTGATTAGCAGACTTTTGATGAACTGCAATCACCTGAATCAGGTGCATGGTGCAGGGAGACCCCTAAAACATGCAGGGCTGTGTGCCTTGAGAACCAGGGTTGAAAAACACTGCACTACAGTACTCTAAATGTAAACAAAAAATGAAGGGTAGGTTTATATTGACAACTTTCAATAATACTAATTATTAAAAGTATGGCACAAAAAGTAAGAAAATGTTGGAAACCCCTGGAAAGCTTTTACTTTATGTGCTAAGTATATTTTGTTTTTATTATGCAAATTTAAAAAATGTAAAGCTCTTGTGGGTTATTGTCACCCTTTGAAGTATTACATTATCAGCAAACATTAGTTTTAGTTCCTAGAACACATATGCTTCAGCTAATTTTAGCTGTTTCCTTCGTGTGTGTTGATCCAGAGATTACAACCTTCAAGGAAATAAAACTGACTCTTTGTGGTGGTAAACAAAATCAAAGGACAAACTGAGTCCTCCCTCTCTTCTCTCAGCAGTCCTGCTTCTGCAGACACACAACACTAACAAGACGTTCAGTCTCTGATGAGAAAACAGAATCTGGTTATCCAGCTTAAGGTCCACTCCCAAAAGTCCTAAAAGTTTTTAATATCCGAGATGATCTGTTGAGCGAACCTCATCAGATTAATAAATCCAGATACAGACCAGTGATGGTTTGTCTGTAGTGAAATGAGAGTTTTCAGATACCTTATGTCGTAGTCACTCTACATCAGCGTTCTGATTGGTTAATTTTTTTGTGACTTATTAAATTTATACAGAACCTCCTGTCCTGACAGAGATGTTCTGACCAATGAGAGCTTCAGAAAATCTTTCTGCCTGCCTGGAGACATCCGTTTAAGAGAATCTGACTGGATAATTATATATTATTAAGTTCAAAAATGTTTCTTGTTCAATTTCAAAGTGGTCTACAGAAGATGAGAACAATTTGTGGATATTGTTTAAATAAATACATTGAATCTAGCAATTGTACGTAGAATAAATGTCCATCCATAATCTATACCCGCTTCTTCCTTTCAGGGCCCCAGGGGTCACTGGTGCCCATATCCAGCAGTCACAGTGCGAAGGGCGGGGTACACCCTGGACAGGTCACAAGTCCATCACAGGGACACGTAGAGAAACAAACAACCATTCATTCTCTCGCTCACACCAAGAGACAATTTAAAGTTACCACTTAATTTAACAGTCATGTTTTTTGTTCTGTGGGAGGAAGCCGGAGTACCTGGAGAGAACCCACGCATGCACGGAGAGAACATGCAAACTCTACCCAGAAAGGTCCCCGGGCCGGGACCTTTCTTGCTGAGAGGCATCAGCTCTACCAACTGAGCACTGTGCTGCCTAAAAATAAATTAAATATACAACAAATTAAATGCAACATTTCCTATGTGCTAATTATTGGTCATTGCCACACTCATCTATAAAAAAAAGCATCATTTGCTAATCAGATGGTATGTAAAGCACTAAACACTTCAGTGTGACTTCAGATGGCTGTACTACAATACAAGTAAACTTTAAAGGGGTGTAATGTATTTTCCAGGCACATAGTTCAATTCTGTACCACAGTCAAGTAACAATGTTACTTGCAGTTATGAAAATGTTGTATAAATCAAAAATAAATTTGACTTTGTATCATAGTCTAAACTCCTTGAAATTAGCCCCCGCTTCTTGGAGCTTTGTACAAATAGGCGGAGCTTTGTACCAGCAAGTGTTCAGGCAGCTCCACATGACTACCGCAGGAGATTCAAGGATTTCTCAAACATGCATGAATGAGTCAAAGCAACACTCTGGGATGTTTCTGATGAGGGAATGACATAACATGATATAAAGCTCAAAAATGTTGATTTTGCATAACATTTCCCCTTTAACAGGCATTTTGTATTCTGGCTTTACAAAACCTAAAACTCCACTCATAAAAAATGGATTTAAATATTCTGATGTTACTTTAGCTAAGATTCTTTTTTTCCCCTAGCTGGATTACGAATAGCCAAGAGCCTCCTTAGTGATACCAAAACTCAACTTAACTAAGCCAGTTTAAAAAGGAATATACAGGTCCTTCTCAAAAAATTAGCATATTGTGATAAAGTTCATTATTTTCTGTAATGTACTGATAAACATTAAACTTTCATATATATTTTAGATTCATTGCACACCAACTGAAGTAGTTCAAGCCTTTTATTGT